CATATTCTACAACCACCTTTCTAACTAAAAATAAGCATGACAAATGACAATGACAGACCATATCAAAATATACTATATAGACCAACCAATTTTCTTTTTTCCTTTTATTACTTGATTTAAATGATTTAATTTTATGGCACTTGTTCTAGGTCTTCGATTCAACTCTGCACTCCCCCAAGCCAAGTACCTTGGTTTTTTTTTTTTTTTTAAGTATTCTTTATCTCTTTCTTCTATTTTTGTCATTTTCTGGTATTATCCCTATGACCTATGAGAGCCTTTACTATTCATCCCACTAACCCTGTACTGAAGCTTTCTGGAAGAAATGGATTGGCATGAGAATTTAAATTAAATGATACCACCAACAAAAGAATCAACTCCCTAAGACTGTAACTTCCTGGACTTCCGGAGGCTGGAAATCTCCAGTGGATAGCTCATTTACACAGAACTGAAGGTCCTGATTCATGGACACACCTATCATCCACATGACCCATTTAAAAAACAAATGAGACAATTCTTAGACATCTCATCTACTGCTTTTTTTTTTTTAAAGATTTTATTTATTTATTTGAGAGAGAGAATGAGATAGAGAGAGAGAGCATGAGAGGGGGAAGGTCAGAGAGAGAAGCAGACTCCCCGCCGAGCAGGGAGCCCAATGCGGGACTCGATCCCAGGACTCCAGGATCATGACCTGAGCCGAAGGCAGTCGCTTAACCAACTGAGCCACCCAGGCGCCCCTCATCTACTGCTTTTATACACTCTCTTCCTTTAAGAACCTTTCTGAGGTTCATTCTTTTTCCCCTAAGTGGTAAGGGAAAAACAGAAGAACAGAAGACCAAGAAAAAAAAACAAAAAATTTTAGACTATTAGGAAACTATGAATAGTATTTTTATTATTACTACTTTAGCAATAAAAAAACCAAAAAGACAGACTTAGGTCATAGTCTGATTATGTTTCAATTTTCTTTGTACTTTCCCTCTATGCCCAGATGACTATAAAGGTCATCAATTAAGGGTGTGGATTATAATTGAAGGGTTTTTTTGTTGTTGTTGTTCTCTCTCACTCACTCCTCTTCTCCCTCTCTGTTCTTAAGGCTGACCTAAAAATAATTCTTCCTGACAGAAACTTTGAATCTGTCATTTGTGGACTTACCATATAAACAAAAGGGACGTAGAAGGGTAAATCAGTTCTACGTGAAATAATCTTTTAAATTCTGGAAAGTGGGACACCTGGGCGGCTCAGTCGGTTAAGCGTCTCTGCCTTTGGCTCGGGTCATGACCCCAGGGTCCTGGGATCGAGCCCCGCATCAAGCTCCTTGCTCAGTGTGGAGCCTGCTTCTCCCTCTGCTCATGCTCTCTCTCTCTGACAAATAAATAAATAAAATCTTAAAAAAATAAAATCAAAACAAAATAAAATAAAATAAAAGCTGAACTACCCAGCATGGAAGGCATTTCCTTGCAAGGTTATTTTCCAGAATTTTATTTAATTTTATTTTTTAAAGATTTTATTATTTACTTGAAAGAGAGAGTGAGAGCACAGAGGGAGAAGGAGAAGCACACTCCCCACTGAGCAGGGAGCCTGATGTGAGGCTCAATCCCAGGACCCTGAGCCAAAGGCAGATGCTTAACCAACTGAGCCACCCAGGCACCACTTGATTTTATCATAACATAATATTTTTTAATCTTTTCCTCCAGAAAATACGTGAGGAAGATTCACATATGAAGGGCAGTATTATAGAAATGCTTCAAATAGATGATATGTATTTTACACAGATCCTGGGGAAGGAACACCTACTCAGTATCCTCGTGGAAATAAACTTTGCATAATAATGCAACTAATATAAGGAATCAAATTATGTTTCTTAATAAGTTATCTTTTAAAAATCACTTACTGTGAATATTTTAAAAAGTATTTCTAGGGGCGCCTGGGTGGCTCAGTTGGTTAAGCGACTGCCTTCGGCTCAGGTCATGATCCTGGAGTCCC